ATCAGATGGTGGAGAAGGATTGATGTGTGGCATAGAACTGCCAGCCGCAGTGTTTCCAGTAATAGACATATACTTAGCCTTGGAGAACCACAGCACCTTTAGTTCTTATGTCTCACTGTTCCTAGCTGTAGTTAGGGTCACCCAACAGATTGAAAGAAGCCATGGCTTCAGGTAACTCCCATTACAGTATATATTAATAGCTGCAACAGATTCCTTTTTTACAGTGAATGTTGATACTTGTAATTCTATGATAGCTGTCAAACCACAGATTGATAGTTGGTAGAACTAGTGGTGGAACATGAAACTGCTTTAAAATGAAGGCATGGTACCACTTGTAGTTCTAAAGAACCTGATAAAACACATTCTGGCAGTAGTACTGTGAAAGAACAATATAGGACAGTATGGATGTTTTACTTTAGAAGCAGTAGGCCCTGGATAACCTGCACAATATCCTCCATCTTTTGTGTGTGCACTTTCATGAACATAAACTATGGGGCATATTTATCACTGAACTCACTCAATATGTTCCCAATATTCACCCAAACTTCCTTTGGTGAGCAATCATCCTCTGGGTTTGATTTACTAAAGGCAAGTAGACTGTTTACTTTGCAAGGGAAGTTGCACATTGCAAGATAATTTTCTCAAGAGCTTGGTGGATGTGGTGAAATTTCACTTTGCAAAGATTCCCAATCACTTGCGAGGAAAACAACAGTGTATTTGTTTGCACATGACTCTGATGATGGAAGTCAGCAAAGCTTCACCTCAACTCATTCAAGTGCTGGAGAAAATTCCCATGCAAAGTGCATGTTTTAAAAGAATGGACTGAGTGCAATCATACTATAATTTCTATGATCTGTCTTTTGGAGAGTATAGTAAGAGATCATGGATTTTAAACAAACTTTGCTTCAGTGGTGGTGTATGTTATCTTGTGTGCTCACTTCATGTTCTTAGGTCTTCATTAAAGCATACTGTATCTAACACCAAAAGCAAAAATGTTTTATTTTGCATCTTATCTGTTCTTAGTTGAGGTAGGTGCATTAGTTCCCTATTTTCAGAAACCAACAGAAAATTTTTATTGTATCCTTAATTTTCAACTACAAATATAATAAGATAATAATTTATTTTTTGGTTGGATTAAAGCATTTCTAAACCCAAAAACAAAAAATGTAATATATTGCAACTTATCAGTCCTTAGCTGTTGTAGGTGCACTATTTTTCTTTTTTAAATCTATTCATTTATCAGTTTAGTTCATTTTACCTGGTGATCCTGCTAGTATCATACCTCCTCTTCTAGAGAAACAAAACTACATTGTATCTATATAGGAGAAGCATTGTTAGGACCTGCTGAAAAAGCATGGACTGTAGAAAATATGTATGGTGTGGAGGCAACAGACAAGGCTGTACGTGTCTTAATCGAGGCAAGGAAAAGGGGTGGGCAGGATGGGCGCAACAGAGCAAGGGGTCAGAGAATGAATGTAGGGCGGTACACCAATTCTACAACATGCATTAGTTGTGGTGGAGGGAGTGAAGTTCCTCATTCTGGCCCTGGGTACTGGGTGGACCTGTCCCAGTACTGTCAAAAAAAAAATCATGTAAAGGGATGTGCTGAGACTTTGCTTTCAGTGTGTGTGTGTATCCCTCCTGTGCATTTGAGTTTGTCTAGTGCTGTTCCAAGCATTATACAGGAAAGAATACTATTAACAAGAAGTAAAGACACACTTACAAAAAACATTGGGATGTAGAAGGCCTCAGTACTTATTAAAGGGTTATTATTTTATTATTATTATTATTATTATTATTATTATTAAAAATATTAATAAATATCAAACATAACCATCAACTTATAGGCCAAGCTGTTGCAGCTCGGGACAGCCTAAATAAACAAATATGTAACACCAACAAAGTCCATTCAGATTTAAGCTGAATGACCATCCCCAATAGACACTTCAGCTCAGGACTGGACTATCGTACCCCCCCCCCCCCCCCACAAAAAACCCATGAGCTTTTTATTCATAATATTAAAACCAAGGTTAAAAATATCCAAACCACCTTCAGATATGTGGACCATATTATCACTATAAAGTTCAAGTAGGAATCTCTTCAGGTCATGGCGTTGATTTACTAAAACTGGAAAGTGCAAAAATCTGGTGCAGCTGTGCATGGTAGCCAACTTCAGCTCATTCAATTAAAGTGGTAGTACATCCAACCAAAAAAAAAATGTTTTCCCCTGCAAGGCAAAAGGCACATTGTGCTAGTATGCATTGCATACTAGCACATTATAAAGGAATTTCCTTAAAATGAAGCCCTCCAAGGTGCTCTGTCACTGCTGCAAAGGCTTCCATCTTCACACGGTCTACTTTCCGGGTTCGCAGGCTGTGACACTTGATTGGCTGAGCCGCGATGATGTCATTCCTGCACATGCGTGGGAGAGTCTCGGGCCGCAGCACGCAGCTTTGGAGAAACGGCACGGGTATGCTATAACTTCAGAGCACATGTGCCAGTGATATTACCATCTGCAGCTCACTAGAATAATATCTCCTAAAGGGTGCACATTTAGCAGATATTCATTTTACCTACAGATAAGATTTGTTCTATGCTTACATATAGGTAAAAATAATAAATGAGAGTTTAATACCATTTTAAGCTTTGACAAAAAGCTGGAAGCTGATTGGTTTCCATGCAGAGCTGCACCAGATTTTGTGCTCTCCAGTTTTAGTAAATCAACCCCAATGTGTCTATAAGATAAAACACCCAAAGATCACATATTGATTGACAATGTCCTGCTTACATGCCTCCTAGTTTTGTTGACATTAAAAGGTGATGACTTGGAAGCTACAGCAATCTACATTGTAGGAATTATTTCAGAAAATACCAAGGTCGCATTTGAAAAAATACATTTCAAAAAGGGAAAATCCCTCGCTAAGAATTAAACTGTATGAACTTTACCAATATTATTTCCACCAGCATGAATTATTCAAATATATGGTAAGGCCAGATTATTGATAAATACATAATTCTTATGAATAAAAGAAGGACCAAGAAGGAACCAAAAAGAAGAGAAGAAATAAAAGAGAGGGCAACAGTTTCATTAACAAAATAAAATTAAAGCTATGAGAGGAAATACTAACTCCATCTGTCCCAGGTGATTCTATACTCAACTCATATCTTATTGTGCAAATAATTACAGATCAATTTCCAAAGGAGCTCCGGTCATGGAGAACCTTCTCTGTCGTTATCAGAATTTACTACCGAAATCTTGTAAATGGAACAGAGCATCGGAAAAATATTGTTAGCAGCACTTGGAACATAAGAAAACATCAGCCAAACATTTAATTCAATGCAAACCAAGAAAACAAATCTAAGGAGTTTAAAATCAGACTTTGAATATGAACAAAAACTGAATAGATAATACATTAATTATCTGAATGAAGCAAGAATAATTTGTTCTGCAAAAAGTCTCACCACATCACAAATTAAACCACCACAAGGAAAAACTCTAGTAATACCATATTCTTTTTAACTTCAGGGATTTGCATGATGAATGCCATCTTTCAGTCACCTATGACAAAAAGTTCCAAAAGCAATTAAACTGGAAGTGTCAGTAAAACATCTGTTTCAGTGAATACAGATTGCCATATGGTCAGCCATTGAAGTGCTCAAGAACATGGCCCTAGAAGAGAAATATAAAAGACCCAAAAGGACTGAATATCACTGACCTGATCTGATTTTTTTTTTCTAGCAGAAGTCTAAATTTAATGGTCGACAATAATTCTCAAACATCCAAGAGATGTGGAAAACAATATTTTTTTTCTTTAGCCAACAGAATTCTAAATAAATCAAAAAAAATCTCAAAAGACAGAAATCAAATCAGGATAAACAGAAAAAAATCAGGTGGGTCAATGAATAAAACATTGTCCAGTATGAGATTCCCCATAACCAAATTGCTGTTGGATTACCCATTACCAAAAGAAGGAAAAAAGTTTTGAAATAAAAACAAAACAGAGAAAACTATCAAGAGACATCTATCATAATAAAATAAGTTATTACAATGAAAACCTAACAAACTAAAACCCAAGGGATACATTGGCAAAAGTTAGATTTACCAAAAAGAGCCCCGCAACCAAATGCCTTAAGAGTAAAAGAGCATTGTCAAAAGAAGGATATGAGATTAAAGACAGTCCATTATCCATCTCTCATTAATTGAGCCTCTTGATGGGAACGAAAAATGATGAATGACGCGGAAAGAGACTCACTCTTTCTGAGGGACCAGATCCAAAGGTGACATATGGAATTTACACACAACATAGTTGCCACCAAGTGTTTTATCAAAAATACTAACCATTCACAATAGCTGCTATAACAATTACAACTTTTATACAATGTCTGTAAAACACAGTGTAAAGGCAAACAGGAATATTCCAGAGATTTACAATCTAGTAGCACTCTTCAAAAAGACAGGCAATCTTAAGTGGTTTAGTGCATTCAAGATCATTTTAAATATTTTAAATATCCCTTAATAAGAAAAAAAGGCAAAATGGTGTACATAAAATATTACAAATGAAAAAAAGACTATAATACCAAAAAAAGGGATCAAGAATGAAAGTACGCAAAGTCCTGGATTCTGTGAGTTATAGCAAAGTTCCATTAATGGGCATAATATAGATCAGTGTTTGATCTGAAAAAATAAAACTTGACTGATGTTCTTTGATGGTAAAGAAGAGAACCAGACTGCTGATGCAGTTTCTTTTTGTGGACCTTCTAGTATGCCATGAGCCCTCACCTAATCACAAGGGTTAAGGGGTGGGAGACCCTTCCATGATGTCAATTTCCTAGTTATATATATCTTTCAGAATTACCATATATTGTATTCAGACAACAAACATTTTATACAGCAGGGATTAAAATTTCAAGTCCTGAGCTACTAGCCAGGCCTTAAGAGTTACTCGCCACCAACAAACACACACAAACAGAGACACCTGTACACACACACACACACAGACATGTACATACACACACACATACAGAAACACATGTACATACACACACAGAAACATGTACACATGCACAGAGACACATGTACACACAGACACATGTATACACACACAGGCACGTACAGATACGCATACACACAGATACATGTACATACACAGAAATACACATGCACAGACACATGTACATACACACACATGTACACACAGACACATGTACGTACACACACATACACACACATGCATGTACATACACGCAGACGCATGTACATGCATACACAGACACACACAAACATGTACACACACAACACCACCCCCATAAAAAGTTGCAGTACTTCGTTGTTCACTCACAGAGCTGGGTACTGCCCTCTAGGGGGAGGCAGAGAGCACAGCACACACTCCTTCCTTTGCTTTCACTGTGCTCAGCTATTGAGCAGTCTGACAGCTCCCAGTTCCAATGACAGATCTGGCCTGAGCTCCGAGCCTGCTCAGAAAGACGGCCCTGGGGGACACACTTGCCCCCACCATAATTTCCACTCGCCATTGGCGAGCAGGCGAGTGGAAATTTCAAGCCCTGTTATACAGAATTATGTTTCAATTTGATATGGACTGATCATAAAGTCTTTCTTATTTGTAGCTTTCTCTCAAAGAAAAATATGTCCAGTCCATCTTTGCCACCTCATAATTTTAAGCATGTTTAGTCTTAAAATAATCTTTACTTTCTCACACAGTTATTAAAGCTATGCTTAATATAGACAGAGTTATGAAAATAGTATACAGCTTTACTCAAAACCTAGACTGCAGATGTATATCACATACCAGAAAGGCCTGGATGGAGAGACATTCTGTTAAATGATTTTAGGACCCTAAGTAATCATTACGATTACCAAATTAAAAGTGTTTTCACAGAAAGACTTCCATTGTGTGGTCTGGATAAATTCTTAAACAATGAAAGAGCTCTTCTAGCCTTGAAGAGATGGAAAAGAATGTCAGTCTCTTTAAACATGGAGATCCAGAATGGCCTCCACTGCAAAAATTACACTCGTGTAATTTAAATGTTACACACACACTTTTGAAAACGGGTGCCAGAAGGTGAACTGGAAGAAGGCTTATACCGAAGAGTTAGGTGCTGAGGCAACATTAGGGTTAATCACACACCAACATGTTTCAAGCCCTATTCAAACAAAGGTGTCCTTTTATGACACAGAGAATAGCTGCGATTCAGAGGATCGCAGCTATTCTCTGGTCATTCACAGTTTTATAACACTCAAGAAAACATGCTCAGCCCTTCACTGGAGATGTGTTCTCCCTCTAGATTCTCCAGCCCAGAGCTGGAGAATCGGAGGTACCGCAAACTAAGCAGAGATAATTTACCTCTGTTTAGTAAACTGATCTTTTACTGTAATCTCACGAGATTATAGTAAAATCAGCCGTTTTCCAGCGTTTGGAGACCGTTCTTCCTTCGCTTGGAGAACTGATCTACATATGCTTCATAAATGGCATTCACAGGATAACTGTGTTCTCCGAGAATCCTGGAGAACTGAGCAGCGATCTATTACTGCTGGTTCATAAACGGACACCATAGAGTGAACATCCAATTTTTTGTGAAAACCTTCATCATATGTATATCAGGCTAAACCACCTAAAATTGTATATGCTTATAGAATAATATCTTTGTTGAAAAAGACCTGAACATTTATGCAGAAATCATTCCACCATCACAGCAGAACAAATGCAAAAAGGTCTGAAGCTGGTTAGAAAAAAAAAAATTGGATATAGCCATGTGCATGTCCTCTTCAGTCTTATCCTGTCCTTTTTATGTGATCTGGGCAACATTTCTAGGAAGAGGGAAGGAGAGATAATAAGGAAACTCCTCTCTCTAAATCTCTTTCATAGATATTGTAAGATGATAACCCAGTGGAGAAAATTCACATGGCAATGTCAATGACATGGTTTTTTTTTTCAGCAAAATCAGGGGATTAAAAGCAGTCACAATTGCTTTTTCAATTAATTTGTGAAGGATCACATCCAATGCACAGTAAGACGTTTGACAGATGGAATGACACTTTGTTAAGCTTGCTCTGTGATAGTAGCACGCCTGAATATAAAGGGATAGCTATGCACCCCACAAAAATGACCACTAAAATTTAGCCATTCAGCCATCTCTGTAAAGGAATGAATCTTAGTGCCAGAAAGGTGAGCAGCCTAACTAATCAAATGCTGTCACCATTTGAGAAACCAGATTACCTGGTCACAGACAAAACTAACAGACCCCTTTTCTCTTGAACCATCCTAGGCAATCACTTTCCATACAATGCACTTTTACTCAATAGAATGCAAGCTTTTACACTTGATTTTAATGTGTTCCTAATAAATATTTATACTGGTTACACATCGAGTACCCTCTTTTCCCTAATGAGCATATAAGGAATGAGAAAAGAAAATTCAAACTGATTGGTGATATAGCCTAGGCGGGGCCATAGATAATTTTTTCCCTGGGAGGGGATCAGCTCTCTCAAATGGAAAGACTGACACAAAATGGTTCCCCTTGCAACTGCTCAATAAGCTTGAGTTCAGGGGTTAGTAGGAAGTTGGGGGGAGGGGGCATTTTTGAGAAAAATTATGGTTAGGCAGCAATTCCACTTTAAGGGCAAATGAAAGAAACTACCAACCACATAGGGAGTGAATTGTTTCCAAATGGGTCAGTGACTACTAAATTTCCAGTGTGACAAGCAGGGTGGAATAAGGTGTGTGTAAGGTGCTTTGACTGGAGAGGAAGGCTTAAGTTGATAGGAGAGAGTTGAATGAGGGGAAGGTGGGTGGTGGTTGTTTACCCCGGTGGGTTAGGTAGGTGACCCGGAGGCAAAGTGATTAGGAAGGTATGAGAGGTAGGTGAGGTGGTATGGGGAGTAGATGAGGTGGTATGAGGTAGGTAAGATGGTATGGGGAGGTAGATTAGGTGGTAGGAGAGGTGGTATGAGAGGAAGGTGAGATAGTATGGGGAAGGTGAAGTAGTATGAGGGATGGGTGAGGTGGTATGAGGGGTAGGTGAGGTGCTATTGGGGGTTAGCCAAGGTGGTATGGGGTGTAGGTGAGATGGTATTGGGAAGGTAGATGAGGTGGTATGAGAGGTAGCTGAGGTAGTATGATGAGTAGGTTACGTGGGAAGACATTTTTACAGGTACTGCCAACAGCAGGATATTTAGGTCATCTGAGTCCTTCAGTGCTGCTGATCAGACTGGAAAGTCTCTGCACTGAGCCCACCCAATGTCCCTGTTTCCTGCCTGCAGTGACATCACTACCTGCATAATAACTGCTTCTGAATTGTGGGAGAGGAGTGTTTGTATCTGTGTAGTTAGTTTCTGGTGCCTGTTACACTGTGCCAGTGTCTGCGAGCATACATGAACAGAAATATGTGAACACAGTCACAAAGCTGTCAGTATACATCTGTTCATGGAGCCTTTACACAGTAGCACAGTGTTACGTGCTCCAGCAATTAAACAGTATCTTGTGTATAGAGCTCTTATCCTGCACTTCAACGGCACATAGAGGGCACACTGCAAAGCAGGGCAGGCTTTCAGTGCAGTGACTATCCAGGCTGACAAGCAGCAGTTTTCCCTGCAGTCCTAATGCTGGAACACAGTCATTGGGGGAGTGCCTGCTACTGATGCAAAACAGGAAAATACTGGCAGAGACGGAGTGCAGCTACATGTCACTCCACTGAGACTGGCAGGGCTTTTGCTGGCTGGAACTACAGAAGCAGTGTCAGGAAAGGCGACCACCTACTTATGAAAACTAGATTACTCATTGGTGGGCCAAAAAAAAAAAAAAGCCTTGGGGATAGCTATAAATTACCCATGCACCTCCCCAGTGCTGTCCTTGTGCACTGTTGACAAACCCTGCAGCAGCACTTGCGCCTGGACAGGACACTCTGGGGGGCTTAAACCCTTCTGACCCCCCCCCCCCCTTATCTATACCCCTGAGTCTGGGAAGGTGGGAAAGATTCAATATAATAGGGAATTTGGGAGGAGACTGATGAGTTAGTAGAGTGCTTTCTGAACTAACTGATTTGATCTATACTAGTGGCAGTCAATTTGTCTGGTGAGTTTATGATTCTAGCAGATAACTCTGAACAGAATACATTTGAACACTAGATTTTGCAACATGAAGTTTAAACTCTCAAATGTATTGAATTGCTTGTCTCGTTGGAGAATAAATTAATACATGTTATGTAATGTCACTACAACTACTAGAAAACTACTTTAACTGATAGGAATCAAATAAATGCATGTTGGGGTTCTGCTGCTATCTATAGGCAAAGATAATTATAAAAGAAAAAACATTCAATTCCACATTCAGAAATGAAATTAAGCTGTCCCTGAGACTGCCCCTGAAAACTGTAATGATTCCAAAATACCACATACAGTTTTAAAGTGTATCCACCCCCACCCCCCCCCAGAAATGTAAAATATTGCAGCTGACTAGCCCTTGGTGTGGTGGCTGCAATAGTTTCTAATTTCAAGCTTTTGTTGCTTAATTATGACCTTGCAATCCTGGAAACACCACATTTCCTGTTCCTGGGTGGCTACATGACTCACCCTACCCTTCTCTCCTGGTATGGACTACAACAATATCCATATTTCTTCTCCTTTTAGTGGGGGGCAGGATAAAATGTTAACACCCGGGTCACATTGGGTGTGACTTGGCATGTGGTTTGCATGCTATGCATCTTGCAAACCGCATTCCAAGTCGCACCCTACATGTAGGTGCGGTTTTGACTTGGTCGGAGTCGCACTGATTTCTAAAGTAGTACAGGCACTACTTTTGGTGTGATTTGCATAGACATTTGTGTCAGATGTTCTGCAAATCGCACCTGAAATCGGCATCTTACCCAACTTTGAAATCATGCGACTTCACTGTAAGTCGCACGATTTCAAAGTCAGGCTTGATGAGACTGGGGTGTTCATTATAGAAGATAACTAGGAAGCATATCACTTTTTATACAATAAACCCATTTTTAAGGTAATGCATTAGGCCTGTGTGCCCTCTGTTTGTTTCTTTGTATGCATTTCATTTGGATTCCCCTGGTCCGTTGAGGGCAGCAAGGCGTGCATCCTATAGGCTACATATGTGTGGTTACAATTACTGTGGAGTTCATCGTCCAGCACAGGAGTCAAAGCATCTGCTCATTTTTCTTCTATTCCATGTGTTGACAGGCATTCCATAACCGCTGCTTCCTTATTTGAATAGGCTACCTAATTCTGCAAAACATACCAAAAAACATGCATGCAGCAATGTTTCTTTTTTTAATGCAGTGCACCACAATTCACAGTAGTGTGTTACCATGTGCCGCTGTGCACTGCAACACAGATGTATTGGTAAGGTGAACTGGAGTGGCATTAAGAATAAATGGCACCATGATGCTCCTAATGCAGGTTTTGGCATGCTTTATTTATTATTTATTTCAGGTACTTATATAGCACTGTCAATTTATGCAGCACTTTACATATATATTGTACATTCACATCAGTCCCTAACCCTCAAGGAGTGTACAATCTAAGGTCCCTAACTCACATTCATACATACACATACTAGGGCCTATTTTAGACAGGAACCAATTCACCTACCAGCATGTCTTTGGGATGTGGGAGGAAAGCGGAGTACCCGGAGGAAACCCACGCAGACACATGGAGAACATGCAAACTCCAGGCAGTGGTGCCGTGGTTGGGATTTGAACCAACAACCCTAGTACTGCCAGGCGGAAGTGCTAACCATTTAGCCACTGTGCTGCCCAGTAGCGCAACAGTGTGAACCCAGCCTTAGCATTTCTTGTGTAGGATACCCCATGTAGCTAGCTTCCAGTCTTCCCTTCAAGTTCCCTGTAGCGGACTGGTCACCTCAATGCTTTTGCTGCCTGAGCTTGGAGGAGAGTTTCACAAAAAGAACAGTTTCCATTGTCTGTACCTAGTTCTGTAAACTCTGCTGGTCCTCCCTATAGCTCTGGGTCAGTTGCCAAAGATCTGAGAGCAGTCTGAGTGGGAGGTGGGCACAGTAGCTGGGGTATAGCAGTGCTCTGCAGCAATGACAGGACAGAGATAGAGGGGAGAAGATCAAACTGAATAATCTGGGCTATGCAGCCCGGTTCTTCTACCTCCCATTAATTTTGTTTCCCCCCTGCCACCTCTGTGCAATCTGTTTACAATATCCCTCCATGTGCTGCTCTCATTGAATAGGAGGTAGAGGAGCCAAGCTGTACAGATCAGACACTTTAGTCTCTTTCCCTCCTCCCATCCCTGTGCCGTCTTTGTACATTGTTTGTGCTGTGCAGCACTGCAACTCTACCCTCCATTCAGTAAAAGCATAAAAGACTGGTACTCAGGCTGTCCAGAGTTGGGGGAAGGAAAGTCTTCACAACCATGAGAGTATTGATGTTTTACTTCTGATCCCTAATTAATACTTGTCTTTGAGGGGCATTGGATCTGAGAGCACAGTAGAAATTGATACACAGAAACAAGAGTGCAATGCAAAATATTCCTGAGTTATGGGTGCTGTGTGTGTGCAATTCATCTTCGGACTTGTGTGTCCCAGGTAAGACGGGAGTTGTCTGCTCCCCTGTTTTCACCTACACATACACACACAGCCCCAAGAGCCTGCCTACAGTAAGTACAGTGCTCATTAGAAATATAGCCCTGCAAGGCACCCTACATTTGTAGAAAATGATGTAGGATGCCCCATGGGATCCCTCCTACCAGTTCTTAAGACAGCAGGATAATATCAGAACTGATGAATCCTTCATATTGGCTAAAGCTGGCCATAAATGATCTTTCATTTTATTTTTTTTATCAGCCAGCCGATCAAAAAAAATAAAAGATTCCCCCAGCCACACATTTAAGGCGGGTGAAGGAATCCTCCCCACTGTGCTATTGTATTCAGACAGTGGGAATTCTCAAACAAATTTTCCAACAGTCCTGTTCAAAAGATCATTAGGTCAACTCCTCTCAAACAGGAATGGCTATAGATGGATCAAAATTCACCCAGACTCTCTGACACAAATTTTGATCCTTCCTTGGCCAGCTTAGGAAGATGAAATATCTAAGGGACCATTCTGACTTGTCCATTTATGATTTTTTCATGTGTTAATGAGTGTTGTGTTAAGGCAGCCCATTCAAATGAATGGACTGCCAATGCACCCAAAATTGGACATGCACAATTTTTTTATGACACAGCACACGATAACGCATGGCAGTGGTTGCTGCACCGCATTTGCATCGTAGGTACCATTCAAAATGGAATGGCATCAGAACATGCTAATGCAACACAACATACATTATCATACATTTAGGTAGTGTGTTGACACATGCGTTATCACAGTGCAGCACTATGCAAAAGTGTGCTTCAGCCTCAAGTTCAGGAACAAGTTGAGGGGAAAAAAGTACTGGGAAACTGTAAAAAGGGAAGAGGGAGGTTTTGGACTGATGACAGGTGCTGCCCAGGAATGAACTTTTAAAATTCATAGTTGAGAATTTTTTTTGCTGAACTCTCAGTGATTCGAATTTAAGCTGCTTTTCTCCCCACTTCTCACTATCTAAAGCCTTTTATTTAGGGGGCCACTAAGAGCAATGGTTTTGGGAATCAAGAGGCAGTCAGAATAAAAAAGAATTTGCTCATTTGACCTTTTGTGTATGTAAAAGATTTTAATATCAATGATGGCATAGATCTGAATGGTTTGGGTTGGAATACAAATTCATATTTTTTTGGCCTGGGTATGTAATCATAAAAGTTGAACTCCAGGCAAACAGCTAAAACACACAGATGAAAAACATAGGGGAGATTTACTCAAACTGGAGCACTCAGAATCTGGTGCAACTGTGCATTGTAGCCAATCAGCTTCTAACTTTAGCTTGTTCAATTAAACATTAACAATACAACCTGGCAGGTAATTGGTTTCTATGCAGAGCTGAGCCTGATTTTGTGCACTCCAGTTTTAGTAAATACGCCCCATACTGTATATAAAAAGCTGTCTTACTTTCTAAAGGATTTATGTTTCTGTCCACCCAGTCCTGAGTTTTACACAGCTTTGCTACACAGTCCTGTCCTGCCTGGCAGAGGAAGAATCCTTATCTTACACCCAAGTGCAAAAGGAAGCAGCACACTGATTAACTCATCTCTGTGTCACTTTGTTCTCTCCTCCTATCAGCAAACTCTATGAACAACAGAACACCTGAATGGCTCCATGTGCTGCTTTCTGAGCTCTGCTTTACAGGGACTGCAAGAGTCTGATACCAGGTCTAATTCAGGTACTTACATTTGCTTGTGCAACATATTAATAAAAAAAATATATTTAATTAGCATTAATGATTGTGGAGCTGCTGATTTATGTCTTTTATGTATGCCTGGAGTTAAGCTTGAAGGTGAAACACTGTCATATGAAATATTGATAATTTTTATGTATTTATGTGCAGCATCCAATTATGGGTGAAGCCCAATTTCACTAATTCGCATGGAGCGTGGTTTGACTTATGTACTATGGTGTCCGTTTATGAACCAGCGGTAAATGATCGCTGCTCAGTTCTCCGGCATTCTCGGAGAACACAGTTCTCCTGTGAATGCCGTTTATGAAGCAGTTCTCTGAACGAAGGGAGAACGGTCTCCAAACGCTGGAGAATGGTCTCCAAACGCTGGAAAACGGCTGATTTTACTATAATCTTGCGAGATTACAGTAAAAGACCAGTTTACTAAACAGAGGTAAATTATCTCTGCTTAGTTTGCGGTCCCTTCCGATTCTCCAGCTCTGGGCTGGAGAATCTGGAGGGAGAACACAGATCTTCAGTGAACGGCTGAACATGTTCTCCACTGATCTCCTGAGAGTCATAAACTGTGAATGACCTGAGAATAGCTGCGATCCTCTGAATCGCAGCTATTCTCTGTGTCATAAACGGACACCTATATATGATTTGGGACTTGATTTGGCATCCACTAAGATGTATTAGAGGAAATGAATGTGAACTTCAGAAGGGATAGGAAGTGCTGTTCATAACACACAATACAATTCCTTTAATTCATACAAAAGTTAAATGGTGCTAGCAGGGGCGGACTGACCATTTGAAAACTTGGGCACTGCCCGAGGGCCCTAGGTCAGTAGGGGGCCCCATGAGATGCCCCTGGTACCTTTTTCATAGACTTTTTTGAGTTTTGGCAAGGACGCAGGGGCCCCATGATCCCCTATTGCCCGGGGGCCCCATGAGTTGTCAGTCCGCCCCTGGGTGCTAGATTCACTAGTTATTGGATCAGGGAACACCATTTATGCAATAGAAGCAAAAGGGAGCCCAGAATCATCTTTTTTTTTTATTGGTTTAACAAACTGTTATTCAGTTGGAGTCTACATGGACTTTGAACTATACATGGCCACTTGAACATCCAACAGTTCCAAGAAGATTTTCACGGCGCTGAACGATGATTCTGCCCACTCTAAAGCATCAAGGAAGCAGTTCATTAAAAATGAGTCCTGTCAAACAGATCAAATGGTCAAATGCCCAGTCCTTAAATAATCCCCCACCACCACCTCCCCCCAGCCAATAAAGCACGCTGCAGACTGTCAAAGGATTTGATCCCCCCCATCCAGCGCAAAGGATTAAAGGACGACAGCAGCACAAGTTAAATCATGTTGCCTATAAAAATGGGCGTATCGGTCTATAGATGAGAGATTGGTACCACCTTCCATTCTAAAATAAATTCTCCCTGGCATGAAGTCACAGCTTATTTCACATCCGGTTTACCCCGGGACTGTCTTGAAATTAAAAAAAAAAAGAGAATAAAAAAAAAAGCATTGTTGTAGCCGTGATCTCCAAACTAGGAAGGAATTTAAGAGGGGGGGGGAGGTTTGATTCTCAAGGAGGGAGCTAGCGATGCGCTTGTGATTGCTTCTGCTGCTGGATGAGTGAGAGGCAGGGCCGTGCAGAACTCCCAGCCTCAGCCACTCTCTGCTTTCCCTGGCTCTCTCCAAGTCACTTTCACAAGACTGGATTTTACAAGCGACCACCTCTCTTTCTCCCACTCCTGATTTTTTTTTTCCTTCCTCTCCCTCTTTCCGAGCATCAATCGTATCCTAGGTAAGGGCTCTGCCGTTTCTTAAATGTCACCACTTAGCAGCCTATATCGCCTGATGTACATTTTGTCCATTTTTCCTCTCTAACATGCAACACTGAAGCTGTGACCATTTTCTCTCTCACTTTGGAAATCCGCAGCGATCGATGGCAGGTTTAGAAGATCAGTTGTGTTGTGTTTTGTTTTTAGGGACAGGCTGAACAGCTCTGCAGGACTTAAAGGGTGGAGAACAAAAAGAAGGAAAAAAAAAGGTTTTCATTGGGAAGTTAATGTGAGGTTTTGCTCATCTACAAGTCTAAATGACTTAGTCGATTGATAGAAGCTGTGCATTTTTTTTTTGTGTGTGTGTCTGTAATTCTTCTAAGAGACAGAGAATCTGTTTTTATACTGGACATAAAAAAAACAAAAACAAAACAAATCAGACAGTAGTAATATTGAAGGCATTGGATGATAATGAGATTTAAGGTAAGCTTGTACTGGCTGAAATGGTGATATTTAATTTCTAAGAATGACAAAATTCCAGGAAGACAAGGGATAGTTTAGCAGAGCAGCAGATGTGTGTATTTCAGTGCATGCTACAAGGAGATAGTCAGATTGTGCATGCTTTTCATTGCCTATGTACACCATTCATCTACATCTTGCAGCGTTACATGATTAAACCTCATGCACGTTTATCACCGAGAACCTTCAGCATGTGCGATCACAATGGAGGCTGCATGTGTTCATTCCCATTTTATTCTCCCCGTCTGGTTTATCCCAGTGTTTACATGAGAGTGATGCAAACTGTGTTTCTATTGATTTCAATTGCACAAGGGATGTGGGGAATGACCATATGTGTGCTGGTTTATTTTATTCTAAAGCCAAAAGGCACAGCATGCTACTAGCACCCTTCATATAAATGGTTGAAAGTAGCATGAATGGGACTTGCTTCTAGCTGCTGTGCTCAAGGCTACAGACACTCTGTGCCAACAGAACTTTCAGATAGATCACAATGGCAATGGGTGTTAGTAGATCTAGAAACTTAGTGCTGGTGGAGTTTGTGATTGGATAGAAGAGGGATAATCGACAACATAGGTAACACAAAGAATACAAAAACAGATCTACCGCAGGCTTAGGAGTTGCTAACACATCTGGGGCACTGTGTGTGTGTGTTGTTTTTAATTTTCCTGATACATTATTTTTTAATCCTAAAGAGGTCATGTGTCAGAGCATGAAACTCCCATGTAACAGATGGGGTATTAAAATAATGAGATTAAACAGCAGCCCTGAGAATCACTTGGAGTTTGACATGAGAGATCTGCTGTTTGAAAAGCTTCTACTAACAAGCATGGAAATGCATTCCTAAAACCGCATTGAGGCAAAGTTCTTCTATGATGTCTTTCAAGAATATAGATAGCTGACTCATTTCATCACCAATTATAGCTGAGTTTGTTCAGAAAAGCTGACACATTTTTTTTTTTTTTTTTGGCTGTCAATACCATGAACAATACCCACATAGGTTTATGTTTATTCACCTTACATACAAGGACTGGAGCCCTGCAGCAACATAAATTGTAGAACTTCACTAGTCATTGTGGTCAGCAAAACATATTTTGTATAATTCTACATTTCATTTTATAGTCAAACACAGGAAAAAAAAAGTTTGTCTTTTAACTGTACTTATGTTATCCTCTAGATTCAAGGAATTGCAATGAGGAGGAAAACCATCTTGTTTGATTGTCTTTGGGCCTGGACAGTTATTTTAAACACATTAACAGAAATAAGGTGAGTAGAATTTACTAACATGACATATTGCCTGTTACGAGCTACTTGCAGAGGGATGTACGTGCTTTTTTCCTGACTTGCCTATGTACCAATACCACGGTGACCCTTTTCCTAGGAAAGATCAACTTAATGAACCAGTTTGATTCTTAACCCATTATTTTTCCTTTCCATTATGACCTGTCCTGAACTTAAATGCATTATGTATGTGAATAATGAAGTGCATGTGGTTAGGAAGTCTATTAACACAAATTAATGTCTTGGAAACTGATATGTAACCCAGGCCATGTTAATTGACCATAGATAAAACAAACATTGTGCCTGTTTTATTCATACAATCAAAAATGCTAAAAAAAAAAATTCAATTATTTAAAGAAAATGAAAATATTGTTAGCTTTAAATATGTTTTAAATAAATGAATGCAGTGTCAGCCAGAAATCTTTATTTGATAGGGAATTAAAATGAAATGTAGGATAGGGGAGCTGTGGCCTATAGACAGTGTGTGTGTGTGTGTGTGTGTGTGTGTGGGGGGGGGGGGGGGGGTTAAGGTTCTAGAGTGCCCTATGTGCCATCTGTGTTTACTAAAAATCATTTTGGGTGTGAATTTAAACTTTTTGAAGTAGAAGCAGAAGTACTGCTGTGTAATGCTGTAACATTAAGGGTGAGAGTTTGTAGCAATAAGCAAGGGGCCTGCAAATCAACAAGGTGTCAGCAATAGCAGTGTGAAAATGGAGTTTGAATTTAATCTGTTCATTCCTCGAGGCAAAAAAATCATGAGCATTATCACTGCCAGAGGGTCTGGAGCATATATTATTTAGCAGATGTTTGCCTGTCAGTCAAAAAAAAAAAAAAAGCAGGGTTATTAAAATGTGTACAACTTATGGCAACAGGAATAGAATAAGTACACATAAATAATTTACAGAATAGCTTTTATTTGCTCCATCGTTTAAGATGGCCATAAACGATCGCAGAGCAAAAAGAGCAACATTTGCTGTTTCCCATAACAACAAGCCAGCTTTTAGCAGCTTACTGTATTGAACTAATGAAAGCTGACTTCTCATTGGGTGCTGTAAGTTACCGTACTGTACAACATTGTCGTTTTGATCACATTGCTATATCATACATTAAAACTTTAGCTTATGTAAAGGACATTACTCTTGCTGGTAGGACAGCTCTTGACAACATTAATTAAAACAAAAAAGTGTCACCTTTAATATTTTTTCTTTTTTTTGTTTACAATTATTTGGCTGTGCTGTCATGATAGTTTGTAGCTGGTTACTTTTTATGATTAGGAACTAGTTATGTGTATATGAATGAATTTTGCGTTGCTGGTCTGTCTGCCGATCTGTCTGTCGATCTGTCTATCTATCTATCTATGCAACAGCCACATGACTTTAGATGATCAGCCAATGTTAAACATTTATGCCTAAGCCTTATGGAAAGCAAAAAATACACGCCAATATGATGATGACCTGTAGATGGAGTCAGTGCACAGTGTTTTAGGGTGAGGATACAGAATACTGTTTATACACATTTTCATTAAACAGTGACTATGGTAGACAAATAACATATGAATCTTCAGCTGTACTTATACCTTATCAAACTGACTTTTTTTTATTTCAGCAGTTTTGATTTCTAGACTTTTTTAATAGTTTGTGTTAGTAAGCTTATGAACTAATTAAGGCTTAGAGAATACGACAAAGAGTAATAAGTAAAGTGCAGTAATGCCTCGCAAGCCAATCAGCAATCACCTCTCCTTGTCCTGTAAAGTAAAATCTGATTGGCAGGTGAAGGTTACTGCACTTTTCAGGTCACATTCATTATGCTCTGTTAATATATCACCATGTATTGATATATATGTACAAATAATGTTTGTTCTGCATTCATATTAATAAATAAAAATCCTATGTGCTAATAGCACTTGAGGAGGTCTAAAATATATACAATGTAAATATTTTGCAGCCAAGAAATGGCATCTTTTCTGTATCTTGACAATTCATGAAAGAAGAATATTAACTGTGGTACAATTCAATTTGTCTCCAAATAAATTCATCGCTATTTGATCAGGGAATACAGCTTAAATTCTGAAGCCAAGAACCCTATTAAGGCTATAATTATTGCTTATCACAAATTTTCAGCTCATGTTGTTTCTCATCCATCATTTTCTATCTGTGAGTGCTTTCCCTGCCCATGCAGGCTGCATCTCCTATTC